TCTGGGGACCACCCTGTCCCCACTGCATGGCTTGGGCTAGATGGAAACTTCAGGAGGACAGGGATTTTTGTCACTTCTGCATCTCCAGCACCCAGAAAGCCTGGCACAGTGCAACTGCTTAGTGAACGGAGGAATCCATCAAAGGATCCATCTTGCACAGAAGAGCCAATGTTAATTAGGGCTCATTACCAGGAAAAGGGAGTCCTGAAGAATAATAAATAATAACAATTGCTTTTTCCTGTCTTACTTAAGAGCTTACTTCCTCTGTGCTAAGTGCTTTGCACCATCCCTGGGAGGGAGAAGCTGCTTTCCCTGTGCAGCAGCTGAGGAAATGGATGCACAGAGAGCTTAGGCAACCTGCAAAGGCAGGGCCTGGGACGGGCGCCCTCTGGCTCTTGCCCTCCCCTGACCTACTCCTGCAGCCTTCCTGACTCCTTACCTCTTTCTTACTTCCATTAGGCAGCCTCCCTTTCGGATGCTACCTTTACACATCAAAATGTATTCAGAATGTTACCTTTGGACATGAAAGTGTACTCAGAAACCACCACTCCAAGCAGCCACAGGAAGTAACAAACCCCGATAATTATAACAGTAATAATATTAGCCAATTGTACTGACGGCTTACCATAAGCCCAGGCTCCCTGCTAACGGCCTGCAGTTCTTCCCCTAGTTCCTCCTCACGGCAACCTATGAAGCTGGTGCTTTGCCACGCCCCCCTTATGGACGACAAGGAAACCGAGGTGAAGCAACTTGTCCCAAAACCACCCAGATCGATACTGCCCTTAAGAAAGGCCTGAAGACCGATGTCCCCAGATGCCTTCTGCTGGTTTCTTCCTCTTTCTTCACTGTCCTTTTCCTGGGGACAAACCCTGTACATCCCACCATGCTGGGCTCTTTCACACCTCAGAAGACAAAAACTGTAGGCTGATCACCACTTGTTTCCTTGAAAAAGAAGCAGTTCTGACAGCCACGCGATTCAACAAAGTACCAAGGCTGGGTTAGCCACGAGACCGGTAAAGATGGCCACCCCACTTCCCCTGGCTGGCCACTGCTCTCGGTAAGTTCATGGTCCTCATATCGTAGACAACAGTATGGTGATTACCAGAGGGAAAGCGGGGTGGGGAGAGGAGAGGAGGTAAAGGGGGAGTAAAGGGTGATGGAAGGAGACATGACTTGGGGTGGTGAACCCACAATACAATGTACAGATGATGTGTTACTGAATTATACCCCTAAAACCTATGTAACTGTATTAACCAATGTCACGGCAATAAATTCAATTTTAAAAATTAAAAAGAAAGACATTCGTGGTCAACAAGGGAAAGGCGGCAGGTAAACAAACAATGCTGCTGATCAGATTACCCACCAGGTGCCAGCCAAACAACACCCCATAATGCCCCCCCAAAAAGGAAGAGAAAATAAAAGAAAGCCCATTCGGAATCCTGAAGTTTCAAAATGACTGCGAGGCCTGACCAAGTAGCTCAGTTAGTTAGAGCATCATCCCAATATGCCAAAGTTGCGGGCTCAATCTCCAGTCAGCGCACACACCAGCAATCAATGAATGCAAACGTGTGGAACAACAAATTGATCTCTCTCTCTCTCTTTCTCTCTATCTATAACTCTGCCCCCCTTCCTCTCTGTAGAAAAGAAAAAATTAAAATTAAAAATCAATCAATAAAAATAAGTAAAATAGAATCAATCAATAAAAATAAATAAAAAATGACTGAGATTACTGTGTTCTATGACCTGGCATTGTTTCTGGTTTTAATGATAGAGTTGTGAGAGGGGCCACCTCAGTCTTTGTGCTGTTAGGGTCACTGCAGGACCCAAACACACTGGGGATAGAGGCAGGTCCTCAGAACAGGTGGGGGGGCGAGGGGTCTTGGGGGTGACCTGATCATTTACAAAAAGAGAATTCTTAGCGCCAGCCACTGTGAAGGTTCATAGTACTGAAAGGCTGGTCACAGAGCGAGGCCAGATGCCTGGATGTAGAAAATGCATGCAGATTCTGCACCAAGACTGAGGCTTCTGACCTCTAGCCACGGCTCCCACTGGGGCCCCAGAGGCCCCCTTTCCTAGACCCCCAGCCCAGGACTCTCCCCACAAGGAAGCCCCCGCCTAAGACTGGTCTCACTGCAGGCAGCCTGCTCCTCCAAGGTGTTACAGGCCGGCGGCCAGAGCATGTGGCGTCTTCTGAACGGTGCTGGGGTTTATATCTGTGCCTGAGAGAGGTGGGGAGAGAGAGCCACACACTCAATCCTCCTGCTCCAGGCCCAGAGGCGGCCTTTGTTCTGAATGCCACTGTGCTCTGACTTCTAGGAGTGGGCCCAGGGAATTGGGCGGTCCTGGTCCAAACCCAGGTGACTCTGTCACTACCTGTCTGAGTGACATGGGGAAATATTTTTAACCTCTCTGAGAGGTGGGTTCCTCATCTGCAAATATAGTAATAATAACGAACCTATATCACATGACGGTTGGGAGGTTAAATAAGATAATACATCTAAAGCATTTAGAGCAGAGGTTGGCCCAGAGTGAGAACTCCATCATTGCTAGACATTTTATTATATGTGCCTCATGTGGCTGTAGGAAGCATAAGTTGCAAAAGACATGGTTGGCATGGTATACGATTTCAACATTATTACAGGAACTACTATTATTTTTATTGTTATACTTAATTACTAGTACTGTTACTAGTTAGTTGAGGCCGGAAAAGCAGAAGGGACAGAGGAGGCACCTAACAAAGAACGCATTTTAACGGTGTTATCCTCAGAGGCCTAGGATTTCCAAGGTTTTCAGGGGGCGGTGTAGAAGTAACCATCGACAGGGTTCATCAGTGGTCAGGATTATTCCAGGTTATTGCTCTCTTCCCATCCTGGGTCAGGGTGCTCTCTAGACACTGGGTATATAAAGACATCACATACCAGCATCAGGTGAAAAAATAACAAAACAAAACCAAAAACATAAACTAGGGACAGTGTCACATCCACACCCCACTATAAAAGGAAAAAACAAAATAAAAAGGCAAAGTGACCGGGAGGACATCTGACATCAAAGACACACACCGTGAAGCAAACAGGCCAATGGCTACCTCTCCAAGGAATAAGGATGTACCCTGGCAACTATCCAAGGTCCTCACTTCCCCAGGAAAGAGTTGATCTCCTTTGGCCTGACCAAATTCAGGGACACTCACACAAAGAGAAAGAGAGAAAGGTGTCTTCTTGTCCAGGAGACCCCTTAGCTGAGCTGCCCGAGCACATGTCCATGCCGGGCAGGCAGAAGGCCCCGGGCATGGTAACCATGGGCTCCAGAGCCCAGCCAGCCAGTCTTCCTGCCACTCAGGAGAATAAAAGCTAAAAGCACAAGGGATTGACTGGACAAGGATGGCAATAGCCACCAGGTCTTTCGACCAGCAATCACACACAAACCATCGGGTGTCAGATATTCGAGAACTGAGACAAACGTTCCCTCTTTCCAGCTCAGAAAGGCTCCAGCCAGGGACAGAGGAGCACACCCGACAGCATGGGGAAGCGGGGGAGGGGAGAGAGAAAAATCAATCAGAAAAAGAAACTGATTTCTTCTACTTTTCAAGAGAAGCCTGCTTTATGCAAAATTCTGCACTCAAAGTAGATACAGCAACAACAACAACAACAGAAAGTCACCCTTAACACTGTGACCATACCTCAAATGGCCACTGGCTTCAGTGGGGATAGCCTGAGGGTGGGCACTGGACCCACCCGGCCTTTCCATCCCCAGACTCACACGTGGAATCCCAGCCAGGCCCTCTTGCCAAGGCCTTAGACCACGAGGCTGTCCTTAACTCCAAGACGTCACTCTTCTCAAACACTGGAGACCAGGCCACGAGGCTCTGCCCAGCCAGGGATTCCGTTTTTTCCCTGCTGCTTCCAGAAAGGCTTTTCTCCTAGTAAATCTTACAGGAAGTTCCACTCTAGGTTCTCAGGAACCATGAGCACCCCTACTCTACTGGCTGGAGCCTTAGAAAGATTCGCTGTGACCACAGGACTGTGTCGGACGAACAAGTCTCAACTTGTCAGAGCCAGTATGCAAAATAGGCCTGCACCTATAACAAACAGCAAAGCTGATACAGTCCCCAAGTCCCCAGGGCCTCCGCCCACCCACCACACACAAACCGGCGGTTCTCCCTGGTTTCCTCCGACAACAACACAGCGCCAGGAGCTGGAACAGGCTGAGGGGGTGAGATGGGCAAAGGGGGCTGCCAGCCTCTCCCTGGGAAATATGAGACCTGTAGGAACCACCAAAACCTCGCCCTCTTCTCCCTAAAAACTCCCTCATCTTTTAGAAGGGCCTGCAGGCCAGGGCTTGAGTAAAGAGAAGAGTATTCCCTGCCCGCAAACTATCAGGGAAATTCGTGGTGTATCCACGCTCCGGACACATGCAGCCTCATGGCTGCCCTTCCTGAAAGCCTACACCAGCCACAAACACTGGCATAAATAAAAGCACAGACGCTGAGCCAGGATAAACCTAATTAAATCAACAGCCCATCCCAAAAGAATGACCCTAATTCCTCTGTGGGGGCACCCAGCAAATCTGGAAATGCAATGCAAAAGTTTCAAAGAGTTTTCGGAAATCACCTTGGGGGTGGGGGAGGAGAAGATGGTCAAAGGATGGAGGGTGTATCCTATGGGTTACAGGCTTCTCCTTTCCCTACAGGGGCCTCCAAGCCATATCTGCGACCCCACGTCGGTACTGATTGGAGATGGTCTATTTTTAGAGATGAGGTACTAAACCCTCGATCAAGTACATAAAATCCAGAATTAGCTCTGTGTACGGGTCATCTGATGTACCCAAATGCCTGGCTGGAGTCTGGTGATGAGGAGAGTGCATGATTAGCACACACATCCGTGAATCCGAAGCCCCTTCCCCGGTCCAGCTACTCACTGAGCATCCCTGTCCACAAGGCCCCCCGCCGCCCCCCACGAAGCTTGCGAGTTTCCAGAAACGCAAAGGACAGAATTCTAACTTACTGGAAGGTCGATCCAAGCCGTATCACTGGGGCCGCCAACATCCTTTCCGCGTGGAGCTCCACTCGGGGGGTGCCGAGGGGTACCAGGGCCCATCCCCGCTCGCGGCCCCTGCTGCTCCTCCGGGTCTGGGCCGCCCGGAGCGCGCACGGCCCGAGGGCCCATGTGCTCGGCGGCCGCACGCGCCCGGCCCGGTGGAGCGCGGGGCTGGCGGGAGGTCCGTGACGTCACGGTTCGCGCTCTGGGGCCGCGGGGGAGGGGAAGCGCGCGCCACCCGGCCCGCCGCGTGCGTGCGGGACACCGGCGCACCGGGTCCTCTCGGCTCCTCGCTGCCCAGCCGGCCACCCCGCAAGCCCCTCTGCCTGCTGCCCGGGCTACGCGGGCCACCGAGCCGCTGAGAGCAGTGTGCAGGCGGGGCGGGCCTGGTCCGCCGCGGGCCCAGAGGGCGCGGGGAAGGCGTGCTCCGATTCGCGATAGGGTCCCGGGGGCTCCGGCCCCGGGGCCCAGCGAGCCAGCGCCAACCCCACGGGGATGCCCGCTCGCTGGTGCTCGGCGCTTTCCGCAGTCCTACACTCCGCTCCTCCCCGCCCCCGGCGTCCTGGAGCCAGGGAGACTTCCCACTTGCCAGATGGGGGAAGGAGAGTTTAGTGACTTGGAAGGACCGAGATGCTCTGAGTTGGGAACACTTTGCGCACCAGACCCTTGGCTTAGATCCATCCTTTGGGATCCGAGTTCCTCTCTGGGTACCACTCAGCATCCGCGGGTCTGACGAGAGGGGCGCACGTACCTTGCCACCTCCCTCGACATCTCCAGCTGTCCCCAAGGGCTGAGGTTGACAAACCCGTGCAGAGGGCTGGCTGGATGCGCTGCTCCCTCCACTCGAGAATATTGAAGTAGAATCTTCAATCCCCAATAGTCTCCCCAAAAGAACGAGAGCACGCCGGCCTCCTGCGTGGGATATGTTGATGCTGCTTTCCCGACCTGAGCCCCGGGACGGGGCTGAAAGCCGCTAGGCGATAGGGAGGAGGGACTGAAAGCCAAGTTAGACTCAGACCTTACAAGGAGGTCACACATCCCAGTGAAAAGATGGACACGCAAGGGGGCGAAGCGAAGGCTGCCCGAGTCCCCTACCCAGTGTCCTAGCAGAAGTGCTAGGATATATCTCCGCCCCACTCTCAGCATTTCATCCAACCCAGCGGTCCTGGGCCCCTCCCTCCCTTTTCCGTCCTCAATTTCTCCAATTCTGATGGCTTCTTCCCTGCCTCAGTGGTTTTCCTCTTTTGAAACACAATTTCCCCGCTACACGAATTCGTTCGTAATCTCAAAACATTTGTCTTGCGTTCACCTCCCTCCAAGGGGCTGGACAGGTGTTCACTGTGGTTGTCAAACCTGCACCAACCTAGGGAGCTGCCTGCAGCCGCGAGAACTTAACACCTCTCACTGCTTAGCCTTTCTCGGGAACCAAGGGCTGTCCCCGGGAAGACGGTGTCCTTCCGCACCGTGCCTGTGGGCCGGAGAGGCCCAGCTTTCAGGGACAACCTCCCTGGGTGCCTGGTCCTGGCTGCGGGAGCCTTCCTGTGAGCTGTCTGTGTCTCTCCCGACTGAAAAGACACCTTGACCCAGAAATCACTCAACCTTGACTTTGACTCTACTTGCCCTCTCTGGACCAGTGCATGAATCTTAGATTCACATTTTTCCTTTTAGGAAATTGCAGTTTAAAATGAAAAAAAATTTTTTTTCATAAAAAATACAAAGAAGAGATCTTAATATCTCTATCATCAAAACTGACTATCAATCACACTTTGGTATAACTGCTTTCAAATTTTTTTAAAAAATCGTTTGCTACTATACATGTACATTGTAAAAAAATTAAAACTACGCAGGAAAATACAGAAAATAAATGAAAGTCAAATCTTTATCAATCAGAAATAACTTTCATACATATTAGATAAATTCCAGACATTTTTAGACACACATGTGGCATAGAAATATATATATTTATCTATATTTGCATATGGATCATGAATATTAGATAAGTACAAGACATCTTTTTAGGTATTATATCATAGAAATATATATACACACACACATATATTGTCCATATATATAGATACATGCAGGGTTGACATAGAAAAATAAATTTATTTTAAAATATCAGCACTTTATAGTTGCTATTTTTAAAGCTATTTCATTTTCCTTTAGTAGAGGAATCGTTAAAAGTTAAGTTTTTTTTTTTTACCATGTTTTCCTAAACAATTCTGGAAAGTTTCAGAAAAGAGATGATGAACAAAAAGAAGAGAGTGTAGTAACGGTGCTTTATTTGGAGATGTCTCCACTTTAGAGAGCGCGCCACGCCCTGCTGTGACGTTGGCGCATTTCCTCCCTCCTCCCCCTTAGGTCGCCCCCTACATCTGTTACTTGTGTGATTGTTTTCCAATTGCCACTCGGCATTCTGTATCTGAAATCCCCATGCTTATTTGGTATTAGGTCTATAATGAAATTATTTAATTCTCAGTGCCAGTCCTTCCCTTTTCTACATCTGCTTCCTTATCTACAAAATCCACTCATTCATTTATCACACGTGCACCAGGCCTATACTGGCCCCCGATTATTCTCTGTGGGCAATAGGACAGGCAAGGTCCCCACTCTCAACAAGGTACATTTGAGTAAGAAGAAGCAGGCAAATAAACCCATGGGCAAGGTAGTTTCCACAGTGAGTGATAAAAGCTATTGAGAGGGTAAATCTGGGCGAAGGGCTAGGGAGGGCGGGGGCTGAGGGGAACCAACTCCAGATAATCTGACCAAGAAGAAGCCAGCCCTGCAGACTGGAGAGAGTGTTCCAGGCCAACAGAACCTCAAGGGCAAAGGCCTGGAGGCACATGAAAACAAGATCATCAATCATTTCACAAAGGCTTATTGAGTCAGACAGGCAAACAGTGGCAGTCATCACTTTCTATTGGGTCAGGAGTCACGTGTCTTCATCTGCCCATTATATCCCCAGTACCAGCTCCGTAAATATATTTAGAGGCAGTGAGTGAATGAATGAACAGACATCCTGGATCTTGTGATAGCAGAAAGGGAATGGACAGGTGCCAGGTGCAGCAGGCTGAGAAGGCTCCCCAGGGGAAGTAGAGACTGAGCTGAATGAAACTTAAATAGCTTGGAGTTCGCCAGTTTGACAAAGAGGAGAATGGGGCATTTGAGAAAAGAAAATGGCACGTATGCTTGTGAAGTTGGAAAAAAACTATAAGCCGTTCCATGTGGATGGAGTACAAATCACCGTTGGAAAAGTGGCGAAGGGTAGACCAGATTCTGGGAGGCCTGTAAATCCATGGTGAGGGACTTAGCGCATGCCCTGCAGAAAGAAGGAAACCTCTGAAGGACCTACGAGCAGGACCAAGACCGGAGCTGTCTTGCTTGGTGGAAAAATCACATTAGCTGTCATTCACAGCATGGATCTCAGGGGGGCCTGACAAAAAGCAAGGAGGCTCATTAGGAGGTGGCCGCAAACATCCTGCTGATAACTAGTAAGGAGCCTGGACCCTAGAGGTTGCCTTGAATGGAGAGAAAGGGGTGAATGCAAAGAACAGTGACAAAGCAACCCACTGGCTAACAAGTCTAGGGGAGGGGGAGGGAGGAATCAAGGGTGAGGGCCAGGTTTCTGATTTCAGCAGTTGGGGGTTGGTACAGTTCATGCAGGTGGGGATCAGGCAGAGATGTAGATACTGGTGGGGGAACTGGGTGCACTTGATTGTGGACTGGTAGAGCAGAACAAATCTTTGGGCCTTCCAAGCCAGGCAGGTGTCTCTAAATGTCCCACGCCGATGGGAGGAGTCACAACTGAAGTTATCAGTTTAACAGTCATCGACAGATGGAGTAGTGGTTGATACACAGAGCTCTTACACTCAGGCAGAGAGTCTATTTAAATGACCAACAATCAAACTCTGAGGATGAACGTTTATGGGGAAGAAAGAGGCAGAGGCTGCTTATATTCAGAATGTTCTCTGAAAATCTATGATTTGAAACTCAGTCCTCTGCTTGTGGCCCAACCTTAAAGGCCCTGATGGCAGTTAGGAGAGGCCTCACCACTTGCTGAGGTGCCAAACCTCTGAGTTTGCCCCTTCCCAAGGTCTATGCAGTAGTTAGGGCTAACAGACCCTCCACCCACCCTTCTTCCTGCTCAAAGTCCTCACTCTGGCATAGGCTTCGATCCCTTCCTTCTGGATTCTGCAACAACCTAACTGGTCCCCCTGACTTAAAATTTTTCCACTCTGATAACCTCAAAAAAATCTCTCCAAGTTGACCTTACAAAGGTGTGGGTTTCTCTTTTCCCACCCTAGCTGCTTAATAGCTAACTGTCCTAACTCACAGCTTTTTCTTTTCTCCCAATGTGTTCTTCTTAAGGGCTTGGCTGTGTTCTGTCCTTTACAGCTGGGCCCCAGTCTCTCCTCTTCCACGAACAGTTCATGGAATATTCTAGACTGCATGCCCTTTTCCTTGCAGAAGTCATGGTTGTGTCGGCACCAGCCCCCACCTGGCAACCTCTAGTAGTTACTGAGTAAGCCTTGCCTTACTTTTCAGCCTCTGAACAGCCCTCAGGTGAAGACGTTGTTACAGCCCTCGTTCCTCAAGTCCAACAGGCTAGCTGAGGCCTGGAGAGCTTGCTGGTTTTGACTAAGACAATCAGCAAGTGGCAGGACCAGGACTTGACACCTAATCAATTACCTGGGTCCCCTACAGCTCACCTGCCAGGACTGGTTATATTTCAAACAGCAAACACAAAGAAAGCTGACTCTCAATGAACGAACACTTCTGCTATGTATAAGTGTGTGTGATCAACACATTGTACATCTCAAATTTATACAACGTTATATGGCAATTATATCTCAATAAAAAATGTAAGTGACTGAAATAAACTCTTCCTCTTTCCTAAGTTTCACAGACGATTTGTTTATATCACATTTTAATCACTCAAGCCCCAGAAGACTCCATGTCTATATTTTTGAGATAATAGCTAATCAATAAAGTTGAAGATGAAATACATACTTATTATATTCCCTCTGGAGAAGTAGAATTCTTATGAGATAGCAGAGAATATAAACATTGGAGTCAGGATACAAACCTCAGTTTGTATCTATTAGCTATGCATCCTTGGGTAAATCCCTTCAGCTGTCCTTGCCTCAATTTGCTCTTCTGTAAAAT